CCCAGCTGACCACACCTGCCTGCAGCCAGGTGCCATTGACCTTGCAGACCAGGGGCCCTCCAGAGTCACCCTGGGGAGGAGAGGGGTCAGCAAGTGGCTGGAGAGGCTGAGGCGGTGGGGACTTTGGGGGGGACATGGGCCCACCTGGCAGGAGTCATGCTTCTCGTTCCCAGCACATATCATGTCTTCCTGGACAATCCGGACATTGTCCCCGGTGTACAGGCCCATGTGGTATTTGCTGTCACAGATGCTGTTGTCTACAATGGGCACCTTTGCCTGCTTCAGGGGGAATGGCGGTGGTAGGGATTCTGGGGGTGAGATGAGGGCATTCAGCACTAGCGGGGAGGCCCTGAGCCCGCTGTCAGGGCCCCTCTCCAAAGGAACCCCAGAGCTGGCTCATGGGTGTAACTTGTCCCCACTTCCCCAAGCCCTCCAACTGTCCCTGACACCCACCTCCATTGTCCACATCACCCCAGCCTGTCACCCAGCACTGGGTCCCCGGGGGGAAGGTCTCCGAGGCAGGGGGCAGAGTGATCAGCTGGACCTTGCAGGAGATGTTCACAGGATCCTGGAGCTCCAGCAGGGCGATGTCAAACCCCTCCTTGATGCTATAGAACTTGGGATGCGGGATGATCCGGTTGATGGGCAGCAGATTATCCTGGTAATAGAGGTGTTGCTCCCGCAGCTGCACCCTCAGGAATGCAGGATCTTTGATGTCCCTGGAGAGAGGGGACACACACTCAGGCGGCTGAGCAGGCTCTTGGACACCCCAAGAGGGAGGGTGGAGGAGCCCCAGGCCCACCCCCACCCATCAGGCCCCATGGGCACTCACGGTCCTATGCAGTGCGCAGCAGTCAGCACCCACTGGGGGTGGATGAGGGAGCCCCCGCAGAAGTGCATCCAGTACGTCCAGGGCGGTGTTCTGGTTCTCAGGCTCACCTGCCAGGGCCACATGCTCCCAGGGGCCTCCTGCCCCCCTACGATGCCCATTCTCTCCAGGGCTTGGCTTGGGGCTGGGGCAGGAAGTACCCTCAGGACAGGACCTGGACCTAGCTGGCCCCTGTGCCCACACAGACCTGGGCTTCTGTGAACCCACCCGCCCATCGTGGGTCTTGCAGGGTGTGGGGTGAGGGGCAGGGACAGGGCTGGCTGGGGTCAGGACTCACCAGGGGCCAGGTGGACCAGGCTCAGCAGGAGGGGCAGTACTAGCACCAGCAGGCTCAGCATCTGGAAGGAGCAAAGAGGGGCCATGTGACCCAGCTGGGGGCTGAGCCAAGTGGGGGTGTGCAGGGTGTGGGGTGCAGATGGAGTCTAGGTCCCTGGGATCAGGGGTCAGTTCAGGCGTGAGGTCTGAGGTCCTGCTGCTCCAGATCTGAGGCTCAGCTGCTCAGTGCACTGACACCCAGATGTTGG